ATAATCAACGGTTTCATGTCTAAAAAAGTAAATACATGTCCTGACAATCCTGACTCAGGGGATCATACTAATAATAACCGCTGGACTGAATGATGATTTCAGTATTAAATGCTTCCTCTGAACAAGTTTCAAAATCTGGAAACATAGTATGTACTTAATCTGTAGTTAGTTAGTCATTGTTTAGTCATTGTTCATGGGTTAAGAAAAAATATATGTGACCATAGGAAGTTAAATATCATGTGACCCTTTCAGCCAATCACCTGCTAACCTCTGTATATAAAAGACACAGCTACCATTTCCTTTCATGCTCCGATGAAGGCCACCAGGCCAAAACGTTGGAACGTTTGTCTGACATGGCCAAAATAAATTGGTGAAACAGAGATTTGTCAACTTTGTACAGGGAATCTGTGTGTGTGTGTGCTACCCTTTCTAGCTCTGGGTATTCAACATGGGATCAGAATTCACTTATAAAAGTGTCAAATGCTTTCTGCTGCTGGTCAGAGGAAGTGAGAAACTTGATATGCATTTGTTGTAACACTATAACACCTCTGACCTAGTGTTCTGTTTGTGTCAAGCAGGTTGAAACTTTACAGATAAATGAAGGTTGGAAAGATCAGGATCAGTGTTGCCGGTGTTACTGCGGTGCTTACCCATTGTGAATGGCAGCACGGGGGTCTCTGCTGTTCTTGATGTTAATCATAAGAATGGAAAAGCCCAGGAACCACATGCTCATGCCGAAGCAGACGCGATACACTGCCTTGTAGCCCACAAACATTTCACAATTGACATCGGCCTGCAGGCCGGGGATAGAAGACCCAGCCCCATCTTCACAGAAGCCTGGAACCTACAGCAAATCACAGGAAGTCAGATTTGAACTTTACAAAGCACCTATAAACGGGGGCAACTGAGCTGAACTTCATGATGTTGAGCAATTAAAAATAACTGCTGAATGACTATAATTCCAAAATTAGAAACAACAACAACAACAACAACAACAACAACACTGTGAACCTGATTTAGGGTCAAGTCTGTAATGTACCTGGCCTTATATTCAATATAGTGTGATATATTGAGATACTGTAACCAAGGTCAAATATTGTGATTTTTTTTGGTCTAATTAGTATTAGTATAGTAATAGTATAAAGAACACACCACTGTAATGAATGAGTAATACAATTTGACTTTTTCATAGAACCAGAACAGTGGGATCTGTATTAGTATTTACCACAGTCTCTGTAACATCCACCATCACAGTCCTCAGTTTACTTTAATAACACTGCTATCTTGCTGTTGGGGGTTTAAACACAAAAATCAATAGTGTTTCAGAATCAATATAATATCACAAAATAAAATCTCAATAATCAAGTGTATTGATATTTACTCAAACCCCTAACAATTGAAACCACAGTGTGTGTGCCAAATCTAATTCTGGTAGAAAACTGACCTAATTGTTTTTAGAATCTGCAGTTGGGGACACTGGTGCAGATGTGGTAAGAAAAAAATGTCACGTCGGTCATGTGGTGACACTGGTTTTAGTAAACACGATACACAATAGAACAAAAAAAAAGTTATAGCACAGTTGACACGCACATTTTAGATGCCCCACTTTTTTAACCATGCATTCAATCATCCTGCAGATGGCACAGCAGAAAATCACAAATCATTTTGACAACGGTCAAAAGCTTCTAAAATTTCAATACCTTTTAATTAATACTTTTCTTAGTCTCTTTTGTACGGTGGCCAACAAGGGCAAGCGCGCCGCAAGAAGAAGAAGAAAGTTGGCTAAGTTTTGGAGAGGAGAGTAAAAAGGTACGTTTTCCTTTATGTCTTTTTTAAACACTTCTTTTATAATATTATAATACTATAATAATATTACAGAAGAATATTCTTCAATTCTTCTATTATAGAAGAATATTCTTCTATAATATTCTTCTATAATATTATTATAATATTAT